CTTAGGTCTATAAGCATATAATGCAATCTAAACCAAATGGAAATTTCATATTGCACAGGTACAAAACAGATAATCTAAATATTTATAGCCCTTTCTGTTCCTTGTCTGTTTTTTCAGTTGCCCCCAGGCTAGCATGGCCACCTGGATAGGCTTTGCTTCTGAATTTATGTGCACATACAATAATTTTCAAAAAATACTTTGTTAACACAAAGGAAGCTAGCAAAGCATGTCTTTGCCCTCCAACATTGTTAAAACATAAAGCTATTTCTAGAAGCATAAGAAAAGCTTTGCCATATATTAAAATAGAAGATGCAAAGTGGCAGCTAAAAGAGACATTTTACAAAATGCTGTGGCCATGTAGACTGAAGATCATAGCTGAAATCTTCTTATAGGACTGTGCTGTATAACACAAATGTTCCTGTAGTGCTTTTTCTCCATATTTGCTTATTTGTAGTATATCATGGAAGTTTGGAAAACACTCCTTTTTAAGTGACTAGTATGAAATAAATCTAGTATGACTTATTAGTGTCTATTGAGATTGAAAGGAGTTGTCCTGAACTGCAGTCCTTCCCCACCCTGTAGTTTTAAAAGGTATTTTTACCAGCTAAGATGTTTGGAGTATCAGAGCAGAGTAATCCTTTTCATTTACAAGCTGTTCAAACCTGAATAAGTCATGGGGGAAAAAAAACCCCAATATGTGAATTAACTGGAAAATTACTGGGATCCAACTGTCAAGATGTTAAAAGTTCAGCTGACCATAATTTACAAGCACTAGCATGAATGAGTGTTTAGAGTAGAAAGCTCTTCAGCAGAATGAGACATAAGTATATACAATTGTCAGAAGCTAAAGTATAACAGCTGGAAATCAGAAATGGGGTGCAAGTGCTTTGTCAAGTAAGCCTATTTAAACTTTGCAACTACTTATCAAGGATCATATTGCATCACTGAAAATTTTCAGATCAAGATCCATCTCTGATTACTATATATATTTTATCTAGTTGTTGGAAGCACGACCGGAGATTGCTGTAAGAGAATCTGTGATCTGTTTCCTGCATGGAAGTACAGGGTCCTTTAAAGTGTCTGCAGCATTCAGCGTCACAAGGCAGCTCATTAAAGAATCTGTGCCAGCAGAAACCCTGCTGTCTGCCAATGACATTAAATGAGCAAAACACTCTAATGGCCACAGGTTTTATCAGGACTACTGTTGTTCGAGCTAGAGCTTTGCAATTGCAGCTGTTCATGTTAGGGATGCTGCATGCACATAAAATAATGATCCTGTTGTGCAGAGTGTTCCCAGCATAGACATTGTCACAGCGTATGTGGGGAAGGCACTGTGGGAAAGTGGTGAAAGTAGGAATTCCTTTTTTACTTACATCAGGGAGGCTTAGAGCTATGACACGTGTGATTCCACACAGTCACTGGTCACCATACTCGTTCCAGCAAGGGAAAGGTCTGTAGTCCTAGGCCCTGTCCACATTAGGCATCTCTTTGTTAAAACCATTATTCAGCCATCGAGAATTTTTAGTAACTCCTCCTGCACTTGAATCTGACATTTTAAGAGTAATTTTACATTCCAGTAGCTTTGCATATGTTGTGCAGATTTAGCTGTGGTTTAATTGAAATGGCTTTTTGAATCTGGAAATATTCAAAGAGGTTTTCTTTAGTATTTCTACAGTGCTGCATAGCAATCTTACTATGTATAATGTATCTACCAAGATTTTTGTTGAATTACTATGTTTCTAATTCCACACTGTAAGTGCTAATATTTTCATTGCTACTTCTTCCTAGTCTGCTGCAGTTATGGGTCAGAAAAATACAAGATCTATATGTTCTTCCTGAGTTATAAGTTTTCTACCACCCTGACTTTACTTATAGGGATTTTTATTTGGGAATTTGAAGAAGTTGGGAAAAACTTGCTGTCTTGCTCTGCTGTGAAAAAAACAATTCTGCTATTTGTTTGTTTCAATTATTGCAGTGAGAAGAATTGTTCAGAGATATGGGAAGCATTTAAAAATGCATTCATTAACAAGGATCCTTGCAGCATTCTACCTAAGGACTATGAATTATACATCAACTTGTCATTGCACAAAATTCCACCTAACAAGGTAATGATTACTAAAGTTAACAGTCCTCTGACATCCGACAGATTTTCCGTGACACAGTTCAAAATTGACCAAGAGTCATTCTGTGGCCGACTCATGAGTCATTCTTTTCGGTCTCTGTAGTTTACAAACTAGGCTCAGACTTGATTTTTCCATGCATTTTGGCTCCATTTATTTTATTCAGTAACTTCTCAGCAACTTTTCTCTTTTCATACTACATAGATCCCCCATTTTTCCTGCTGTGCCGGGAACTCTGTGATAGTCCCTGAGCTTCTACTTTTCCTCAAGTTAGGTGCTCTGCCTGCAAAGGCTTTGCCTGCTATCATTTTTTGCTTCCAAACCTCACAGTCAAGTCTCATGGCAATGAGATGTTAAACACTGACATGTTAAACAATCATAAACAGCAGTGAGCTAGGATGCTGCTATATGCCAGGAAACAGGAAGGGTTTGATGTGCTGGCAATTGCAGAGAACTGTGAAAGTACAAAAGACATGTTCTGCTTTAAAGCAGTTTTTCCTTCAGCACTATTATTCCTTATCTCTAAATGATACAAGCTAAATCAACAAATACTCCTGTCAACATAGCTTAATTCATGAAAGAGTTTCACAAACACAGAAATAACAGCTAGACATATGATTTTTTTCACACCATAAACCAACATAGCAATGTGAGAGGATTCTGGTAACATATATCTAGCTTATAAGTATCAGTCATCTTCTTTTTTCTCTTTTTCCTAAATCTATCTACTGAGGCAGGCCAAGCTAGCCCTAACTGTGCTTAAATTAGGCCTATATCCCTTCCCATCAAGGTACAAGTGTCCCTCAAGTCTCTAGTGATCAAAATTTACAGCTTTGTAAAATAAAATCTTTGTTCCTCTAAAGAGGTAGCTAACATTTCTATTTATTAGCTTGATTTTCAAAGAAATACTAAACCATGTTTTAAACTGTTTTCAACACCCCAAAAATCTCATTGGGTCCATGCCCAAGTGTTGGTACAATTCTTCTCTTTTTTTCCCTATTTTTATATAGTCTCTCTTCTGGGAAAATAATCAGCTACTAGTCAACAGCTTTGCTGACAAAGGACGTCGCTACATGTCTCTGGCTGATACTCTGTTTGGCTTCGTTGGAGATTTTCTAAACTGGTGTGGGCAGGCAAACAGTGCTGGTAAGACAATAGTGCTATATTAAACATCTGTCTGTAAACCATGATGGAGACCAACTACTCTGCTCTGGAGGAGCTAATTTTGCTCTTACCCTGTGAAAAATCAGGGATGGCTTCACTATCTCGTTCTCTCTGTGAATATTTAACATTGCAGTCATGGGAGAACACAGTGAAATCTAAACAGTGCTGCAATGGAGATAAACCACCTTCTCAGTCCTCTGAATCCACAGCTCTCTGCATCCCAGGAATAGAATTAGAGCCATTTTAGCCAAATTATTGAATCCATACAATGTCACTGTTTGTTTAAACTGCAAGGGATGAAAAATTATTGAAAAAATACAACGGACAGCTTTCAGCATTATGTCAAACCATCTTGTATGTTCAGTGTGTAATGTGCAAATATATTCAGTTCCTTTCTAAAGTCACTTTTTACAGTCATTATCATCTCTGTAATAGCACAAATCACATGCCTTCCTACAGGACTGGACTATGAATCCTGCCCTACCACAGTGGAATGTGAAAACAATGCGGTGGAATCTTTCTGGAGGATGGCCTCAACCACTGTAAATAGTTCATTAGTGCTGACTTCATACATTAGTGAGTGTGACCTGGGTGGTTCAGGAAAACATTGCTGGCTCAAAACAGATTTAAACCTGTAGCTGCACTAGATTATTTCCTCTGATGGAAATACACTGTTTTAGACAGCGTGTAGTGCTTTAGCAAGAGGAACCTAACTTTCACCTTAGCTAGATAATGTGTTAAAATTCTGTGTTGCCTTTGTTAATATAAAGTATACACTAAGCACAATAAGTGCATTAATTGTCTACTGATTACAGGTCCTAAGTGATATTTGATGGTTGGTGGAATCCCTTTGTTCACAGATCAAACCCAACACAGAGTGCAAAAATGCTTTCTTTGTGTGCTGAGGAAACTATTTATAGATGTGAGAAAATAGCCTGAGAAGATCTGTTGAATTATTGCATTGGCTGTTTACTTCTTGTCCTTTCTACTACAGTGACCTGCTAGGGTGCTAGTTTAGTGTTATTTTCACAGTTCTGATATTCTTCTTGGTAAAATTTTCCTTGGCCCTTGTTGCTTGCAGTAAAATACCAAGTCATAAGGCAAATCAGTAAGATGAGTTCTGAAAAAAATTGTTATGTATTGCAGTATGCACAGCACAGTTCTGGGGTGATACATGTCTTGTTGAATGGTTCTGCAGTTGGAGGAGCTTATCCATATCCAGGGTAAGAAAACCAACTTATTTATCTATACAAAGTCTGATGACTACGAACTAAAAAAGGGTTAACCAGTTGTTTGGGTCTTCTGCTGCACAAAGCATGGGAAGCATAGCTGAAAGAGCCTCTTGCATCAAAGTCTGCTGAGTTGTGGGGACAACTATTAATTGCCCTAGGTGTATGAACGAATATGAAATGGATGGAAACAATCTTTTTGACTCCTGCATTTTACAAACTGCTGTGGCAAGTCGTATGAATGCTCTTCGAAAGCTGCCTTCAAGTCAGCCAGCACACTGTGGCAACATATGTAGGTCTTCGAAAAGATGAGTGTTACAAAATTTCTATTCAGGGACATCTTCAAGGAGAGGATATTGTTACAAGGACTGTAGCCTCTGTCAGGCCTAAGAGCAAACTCGGTTAGTTCTATAGGGAAAGTGCTTTGTCCTGCTATTTCTCCATGATCGAGAGTGGAGACAGTTTGAAATCCATTATGGTTTAAGAAAGCAAAAAAAGCTTCTTGAGAAGGATAATAGCAAAGAGTAGCTTCCTCTTCTCATTAGTTCATTGTATATTAAGGACAGATGTATTTTCCCTGATTCACAAGTGTAAGAATACGCAGAAGTTCATCTAACCTTACATTTAAAATTTACTGTAAAAGCACACCCTTAAAAACTTTTACTGAGTGTGGCTGTGGTGACTGGTTACCTTTGATGGAAAAGACATCTTTACTTACGTCAGCAGCTGTCCTCTCAAAGGCAGATTTAAAAAACCCATCTTTTAAAAACCCAAACAAAAGATCTTCTTCCTGTGTGTTCACTGAGGAATAAAAATGGTCATTGAAAAGTTAATTTTATCTCTGGATAGGAGAGAAATAAGAACCATCTGTTCCAAAATACCTACTACCTATTTATCTCTGTCCCCCAGAAGGCCCATCTCTGTACACAGCTTTCAGTTAATCATAAAGACTCATACAGTGTCCTTGGGTTGGTCAGGTGTTCATCTGGGGTCTTCTGCTGATGGTAATACTTGGCAGCAGGACAATGCCGAGAAGCCAGTATAAATTCCTTATTTCAGAAAACTCTTACACATAAATTGATTCCACCAGTTCCTTGGGTTGCCTGTCTGGTGGTATCATAACCACTGAAATCACCACTGGAACATAACGTGCCAAGAAAAAACAGCATCAGTTACTCCATCTCTTTTCTTTGCTGTGTATCTTCTGGTCCATTTATAACTGAATTTGTTTAAGAGATCTTGTTTGAAAGAGGTTTAAAGTTGAATCATTAATAGCAGAAGTTAATGTGAAAGATCTGCTTTCCTAAACATCTCTCTGATCTGTTTTCAAGTGTTTCAAAACCACATTCAAAGTTTATCCAGTGTTAACATTTGTGCACTTAAATCATCATTAAGTCACCTGTTACCATTTCAGTTAAGATTTATTACTAATTTCACTGCCAAATAACCTTGCTCATTCACACAATATGAATTTAGTTGGCAGACTTCTTTAATAATATTAGCCAGTTCAAAAACTGGTTTTGCTGAAGTCAGTTGTGTTCCTCCACAGTTTCTGCCTCCTCTAGTTAAAGATTTCTCCAAATTTTGGAGGAAGCTTTTTTTTTTTTTCCCCCTGGCAATAACTTATGCACAAAGGAGCAAATGAGTTAAAAGTAGTTGGAATGATTTTTTTTGGCTATATCTTCACTATATGTTTAAGACAGGCTTGGACACCATGGAGAGATAGGCAAACCTGCTGTTGCTGCTTCTGTTCTCTGATTAGCCACTGCCACACCAGACTTGACCAAAGAAGGCAATTGTTGGTATCTACCTCCTCATGTTCCACTTCTCCAGTAGTTTAAATTAACTAGCTAACTTCATGAATCAGCCTTGGCTGACCACCAACAGACACAAGCAATCACCACATGTCTTGTGCTTCCACGCCAGAGCCCCAGTAGTTTGCCTGAAGGCACCAGTAAGACAGAGCAGTGGTTTGCTGGTCTCATCCAGGAGGTGACTACTAACAGTCCCTTCTACTCTGTGTGGGTCTCAGAGCATTTAAAGTGGCTCAGAAACACTGCAGTCCTCATAGTGACATATACGATCTGTGATAGGGGTCTTAAATTAGAGCACACTTCTAGGCTCAGACTGGGATTAAGCATTCCATGTGGACACAGCCTGTTTAAGCTTTTTGGGGGAGGAGGGGAATCATTGCAGCACATCTTGCTGCAAGGGGTAGAAATCTGAGGCTTTGAAATAGCTGCATCTCAAACAAAAAGCAATTTACAGACATTAAAATAATCCTTTGAATTTGGCAGCTTTAGAGTCGATATTATGAAGAAAATCTTAACTGTGAGGGTGGTGAGACACTGGAACAGGTTGCCCAGAGAAGCTGTGGATGCTCCATCCCTGAAAGTGTTCAAGGCCAGGTTGGGTGTGGCTTTGAGCTATCTCATCTAGTGGAAGGTGTCCCTGTCCATTATGGGGGATTGAAACTAGATGATCTTTAAGATCCCTTTCAACCCAAGCCATTCTATGATTAAGTTGCCATTTTATTATCTTGTTTTAATTGTTATTTAAATACCTATCAGAGTCACATTTATACAAAGCAATAAAGTGGAGGATTCCCTAGCTTGGGGATGGACATGTCTAGAAATTTCTCCTTTTTGGCCTTACATATCCTAGACAAATACTTCATGTTCCTATTGCTGTCATTGTGTACCTAAAAACATATTTGTCTTGTGGCTGTTTTTATTTATTTATTTAAAGCAAAATTGTGTCTAAAAGCAATAACTACAAGCGTGCCCTTTTTTTCCCTTTATTTTTTTGACTAAGTATCAAATGTTTTTTGTACTATTTTTGTGAAAGCAATAACTACAAGCGTGCCCTTTTCCTTTATTTTTTTTTTGACTAAGTATCAAATGTTTCTTGTACTGTTTTTGTATTTTTAAAAGTTAACTTCCTTCTGGTTCACCTCAAATTGTAACTTTTTTTTCAGCTGAGCCCCTCTAAGATGAATGTTAAAACAAATCTTTAAATGCCTTTGACCTTTGAAGGCATTCAGAATGTGAATCAGATTTTTCTACTCTGTGTTGAGTCTGATTGTAATCAGAAGATATAATAAAGTCAAGCAAGCCCATATCCTACAGCTGGATCAGAGCCTTCATTATTGCAAAGGAGAAAAAGACTATTTAATTTTCATATTCTTTATAGTTCTAAAATAAAACAAATCTTTAAATGCCTTTGACCTTTGAAGGCATTCAGAATGTGAATCAGATTTTTCTACTCTGTGTTGAGTCTGATTGTAATCAGAAGATATAATAAAGTCAAGCAAGCCCATATCCTACAGCTGGATCAGAGCCTTCATTATTGCAAAGGAGAAAAAGACTATTTAATTTTCATATTCTTTATAGTTCTAAAATTTTTTTCTTGACTATTTAATTTTCATATTCTTTATAGGTCTGAAATTTTTTTCTTGAATCAGTTTTTTTGCAGACTATGAAATACCTAATCTCCAGAAAGACAAAATCTCCCAAATCATGATTTGGGTTGTGGATGATATTGAAGGACCAGATAGGTAAGTTACATCTTCCAAAAAAATTTAATTTCCTCTTTCGAACCTGTTATTAAAATTTCACCTTATCTTTATGTTTGATTATATTTGCAAAACAACTAAACTAAAGTGTTTTGGATGCTTTGATGAACACAGAAGGAACAACCTGCCATTCCCAAAAAGTATAGAAATATCTGAATTAGGCAAAATATAAATAAATTCTAATATTAGATCTGAAGTCCACTCCTTGTTAGATGTGTGTATCTCAGACCCTGAGTGAAGATACAGCACATGCAGTTTTACTAAGAGTCAATCTGAATTTCATATTAAGTGCTGATGAGAGATAGTTCTTTCAGTTTGATGAGTGCATTCTTTCCATTTTTACCTATTTTATTCTTTCAGTTTGATGAGTGCATTCTTTTCATTTTTACCTATTTTAACAGTTTGAAAATTTGTAGAAGCAGATAAATACAAACAGGGGGATTCTTGTCTCTCAATAATTAATCCAGTGATAAAATGTAAGGTTTAAAAATGTCTAATTTTGCTGGTTATTTAATTTAAACAAACAAACAAATAATAAACAAATCAAACAGATCAGTCCAATCTGTCTTTCAGTTAATGAATGCAACAGAATATTTGTGTATTCTTATTAATTGCTTTTTACAATTATTTTGCTGGTCTCAATATGGTTTCTTTAGTCATGAATATTTGGTATTCTTATTAATTGCTTTTTACAATTTTTTTGCTGGTCTCAATATGATTTCTTTAGTCATGAATATTTACTCACCAGCAGATAAGTAGCACTGGCCTTAGTTTATTTTTGGTGCAAATTTAGAAGTCTCAGTAGGTTTATGCTCAACTTTCTTGTGCTAATTGGACCACAACTTAAAAAAATCAATACTAGAAACAGAATCATAGAATCAACCAGATTGGAAAAGACCTCCAAGATCATCAAGTCCAACTCTACCGTGGTTACTAGACCATGGCACTAAGTGCCACATCCAGTCTCCCCTTAAAAACCCCCAGGGATGGTGAACCCACTCCCCCCCTGGGCAGCCTATTCCAGTGCCAGAAGCTGTGTTTAGGATTGTTTCTGGGTTTTTTTTCTCCTTGTGATTTTCTATTGCTCAATATTCAAGAAAGAGAACAAACCTCAAATAACAAGAATAATTCTGGTTCATTATAAAACAACTTACTCTGTAAAAGCAGGTGGCATCAACTTCAGCACTGCCTAAGTAGTTGCCAAAGAATTTTACAAATAGAACACTTATTATTTTACAAAATTATTTTGTTCTTTTTCTGTCTAGACAAATATTAAATATGGGATTATTGGTTAATAGAATCTGAAAATGCTACACTGGCTGAAGACAATCTTCCAGACTCTTCAAACTAAGTGTAAAATGTGAAATGACTGTAAGCAAATGAAGGATTTTAAATAGCAATGTACACCATTCTTCTGGAAGTGTTATGGAATATAGAAGAGGCAAAGTAAAGGGGATTTACTTTACTAATCCATCAGGTTCAGAGGAAGGAAATTATAATAATGAAAGACTTGCAATAATATTAAAATCCTTTCTCACAGAGATTCCTGTGGAACTCATAGTGTAAAGGTATTAGAAAACAGGCTGGAGACCCTTGGTTTTGATGTCACTTGCACTGACAATTACAAGTAAGTGAAAATCCTTCATTAATATGGTGCAGAAGCACCTGATCTATTTCGATTCTTACTTTTCAACACTTAAATGCCATTAATGTTGTGTCTTCAGGAGAGACTGATATGTTGGAGGGATGTCATATTTTTCAGACTCAGCTTATTTTTTGTCTCTGAATTGAGCAAAACACTATGTCTTGTATAATTAAGGAGGGCATTATACTCAGTGTCAGATGCAGATGTCCTCATGTATTCCACTTCACTGTAAAATCTTTACTTGGTTTGAAAATCTAAACAGCAGTTAAAAACACCATTGGATGTCTGCAGAATTTCTAATTATTCATAGTAGGAATCACAGTTCTAGTTATTCCTATAGATTGTAAGATAAATTAAATTGAATTCAAGTTTAAAAGTGATAATAATACTATGAGTTAGTTTCATTTTTTTCATTGGTTTTCCTCAGTTTTCTGCCTGAAAGATACTAAATAAAATTATATTTTTACAGGCCAGTAATGTTCTTACTCTGCCTGGATTATCCTGATGATTCTAGGTGTGCCCTTTCATCGTAAGTAAAAGAAGCTCAATCCATCCTCAGTGTCATTACAACCAAACAAATAATGCTGAAGTCAACAGTTCAGCAGATTCCATCTATTATATATCAGCCATACACAACACACAGTATTATCTAATTTATTACTTCCTGAGTGAGCGGTTTCTGTTTACAAATTGTGCACAATTGTCTGTGAGCATCTGCTGTTCAAAATTAAGCATTAATGTGTCCTCATCAATCACATGATAGCACTGTCTATCACTGGTGGTATGAACAAAGCTTGTACATATCACTGTTCTGATGCAAAATCTATTACAAGTTAGAAATTGCTTTCAGCAATATTGGTCCTTGAATAATGAAATTGTAGGTCAAATGGCAACAAACCTATGGGCATTTCTCCAGCTACTGAAACTTTTGGTTCTAAATTTTGAGCGAGTTTCTTTTTAATCTTCCATCTTTGTGTGAAACCCAATTTCTATATTTCAGTATATTTACTTTGGGCCAGCAGGTTACCTTCACAGATACAGATTACATCCAAGACACACCTGTTTTAATTAACAAGCATCACTCCCAAGTTTTAATTGTTACCCTTCCTAGCCATATTGTTTTTTATTATATAAATTCATTCAGTGAATGTACAGTAAAGATTACTGGTTTTAATTGTGACTAGGTTTCTTAGTCTGCCTGTATAGTTGCACATAAGATACTTGAACATCCAAATATGTAAACTTCTTCACAGTTTGGAATGCTGCATGATATAATCCTACTGTCCTTTCTTCCCTAAGCACATGCAACTCTTTCGTGTGTTAATACCTGTGTAATATTGCATTGATAACTTCTGCCACTGGGGAGGAGCAGTAGTGCTTCTTGCAGTACAGAAAAGGAGATGTATATCACTTTCTGTAACAAATGCTCAGATTTTAATACATGGAGCAGTAGTGCTTCTTGCAGTACAGATGTATATCACTTTCTGTAACATATGCTCAGATTTTAATACACCCTTACAGAGAAAGTGAGTATTCTCCATTCCTTCTCCTGCTGGTCACTGAAAAATTTGGCTCATCTTGTCATGCAACATTTATCTTTACACCCAAATTATGTCCTGGCACCAACCTATAAATGTGCTACAAACTATGTCCTGGCACCAACCTATAAATGTGTTACAAAACCAGAAGTTATGTAGTTATCATTGATAGCTCCAGACTACTTCTAGGCAGTAGATCATAGAACAGGCTTCAAGTCCTATTAAGGATTTTGTTTGTTATGAGATCTCACTTGCATGGTGGATTAAAATAGGATTTCCTTGTTCTGCCACTGAAAGGTAAGGATTTTGTTCACGTGTCAAAGGAAAATACAGTTGTGCCATTCAAAATCATAGCTGTGAACATGGTGACAAGGATTAATAAAGTGGACAAAAAATCACTTTACAGGACTTTACAAAATATAATATTGTGAGCTCTTAACAGAAGATTTTTCTTCTCTCCCAGATTTTAAACCATTTCCCTCCAAGTTTTGTGATGTGGGTACATTCCTCAGCTGAGGAAACCTGGATGAGAAGGCTTATGGAAACCATTAATGTCTTTTTCCTTGCAGCTAAGGGATGAGCACACCAGTTCTGCAGTATTACCACATAACACTTGCAGTATGTAAGCAGGGGAGCATCCACCCCTTCCTTTCCATCTGTGTTGGTACTTAAAGCAACATAATCACTGGCATATTCTAAGCACAAGTCTCATACTCTCCTGGGCTAACTACTAAGCAACTCAGCTGTTATCACCCTCCTTAGGAAACGTTCCCTTGCTTGTTTCCTCCCTGAGCATTCTATTCACTCCTGTTTGCATGGCAATGTAATAGGTTTGATTGACTTCACATCTATGCTATGCCTAATCAAGACAGAGCTTCCCAATCTGAAGCTAAACTGTCATTGCCTCTCCCTGAAATTTAATACAATGCTT